AGGAGGAGGAGGAGGACGCGCCCCCCCAAACGTCGCGCACAAAAGAACACTCTTAGCCAGGGTCACTCCTGCGTAGCCGAGAAGATGAGGGGGTGGTGGTGGCAAGGGCTCGCGTGCGAGGCGGAGGATGAGGGTGTGTTGGTGGGGGGGGGGGTAGGAGGAGGAGGAGGAGGACTCCGAGCTCGTTGTCGCGGCCCTGCCTGGAACTCTCCTCTTTCCACCCTCGTCTCTCCGCCCTCGTCTTCCCCCTCTTCCTCTTCCTCTTCCTCATCGTCCTCTTTCCCTTCCTTTCTTTCCCTCCTCCTCCCCCTCTTCGTCCTCTCTACCCTTCCTCCACGTGTCCCTCCTCGTCTTCCTTCCTTCCATTCTCATTGATCTTCTTCCTCCTCCTCCACCTCCTCCTCTTCCTCCTTCTGCTCCTCCTCTTTCTCCTTGTCGCCCTCGTCGTCCTCGTCCTCCTGCCCCGGCGCCGCCCAGAACACCGTGAACTCGGACGATTCTGATTCTCCTAGGGTGCGCCTTCCAGGGATGGTCGCCGCCGCCTTCCTCGTCGCCATCCCCGTCACTGCCGCCGCCGCCGCCATGACTGTCGCCGTGGCCGCTGCCGTCGCCGCCGCCGTCGCCGCCGCCGTCGCCATGGCCAGCGTCGCTGTCGTCGTCGCCGCCGTCCCCGCCACCGCCGTCGTCGTCGCCACTGCCGTGGCCGCAGCCGCCGCCGCCGCCGCCGTCGTGGTCGTGGTCGAGGTCGTGGTCGTGGTCGTCGTCTTCTTCGTCGTCGTCGTCGTCCACGTTCGTGGTCCCCGCCGTCGTCGTCGTCGTCGTCGTCGTCGTCGTCGTCGTCGTCGTCGTCGTTGTCGTCGTCGTTGTCTTCGTCGTCGTCGTCGTCGGCGTCATGATGGCTGCGGGGGAGACGTCGTGCTCGCCGCAGCTCCGAAGAGCGCGGGCACCGATGATGACGACGACGATGTTGATTATGATGGTGATGCTGATGATGATGATGATGTTGTTGTTGTTGGTTGTGCTGATGGCGACGATTATGATGACGACGGCGATAGCAATGATGGTCATGATGGTAGTGGTGACGGCGAAAATGATGATGCTGGAGATGCTGTTGTTGTTGAGGATGATGATGGTGATGCTGATGCTGGTGATGATACTGGTGGTGGAGATTATGATGAGGATGCTGCTGCTGCTGCTGATGATGAAGGTGCTGATGGTGTTGATGATGGTGGTGATGATGACGATGATGCTGCTGATGATGCTGGTGGCGAATATTACGACGATGATGATGCTGCTGATGATGATGATGCTGCTGCTGCTGCTGCTGATGATGATGATGATGATGATAGTGGTGATGATAGTGGTGATGATAGTGGTGATGATGATGTGGTTGAGGGCGAGGATGATGATGCTGATGCTGATGATGCTGATGATGTTGATGACGACGACGACGATGATGATGATGGTGAAGGTGGTCTTGATGATTCGGATGATGAGGAGGAGAAGGAGGATCCTCCTCCGCCTCGTCCTCGTCCTCCTTCTACACTGGTCGCAATATGATGTTGCCCTACCTTATTGTTATGTCATTACCTTGTCTGACCTTACGTCACCTTCCGTTACCTTACCTGGCCCAACCTTGCCTTCCCATGTCTCCCTTTCAACCATCTTACCTGACCTCACCTCGCCTCGCCTCGCCTCTTCTCGCCTCGCCTCGCCTCGCCTTGCCTTGCCTTGCCTTTCCTTACCTTGCCTCACCTTACATTTCCTTGCCCCGCGCTGCCTTCCTCTGCCGCACCTTACCCAACCTTCCTATCCCTAACCTTCCCTTCCCTTACCTCCCCGTACCGTACCGTACCGTGCCGTACTTTGCCCATCTTACCTCACCTCACCTGGCTTTGCCTTGCCTTTTCCAATGCTTTTGCATGTACCCAAACTTTTACCTTCACCTTTACCTTTACCCTTACCTTTATCACTGTTCCCTGTTGGTGAACACCACCTCCACCACCCGATCGGCAGCCAAGCCAGAACCACACGGGCACCCATGAACATTCCTGTCACTGCCAAACAACGATGCAACATACATTGTGCCTCGCCAGTATGAGGGTGAGAAGCTGGGCGGCGGGCGCTCTGCCTTACATTTTGGGTGGTCACCGTCGGCGTTGACGAACCGCTCGGCTGGATGCACCATATTACGTGGACGACCACTTCGTCTCAAGGATGTTGTCGACATCTTCGTGCCGCCGAAGGCTATCCAGGGGCGCGCGGGCGGTCTACGGGTCAAGAGCGGCACGTTCGACGTGACGCTGGTCGTGGGCTGTTCTCCACCGCCTGGGGCGACGGGCAGGAAGATCGCAGCCTACGGGTCGGCGGTCAAGACGACGCACACGTGGATGGACAACATCGTCGAGTGCACGCGCGCGAGGTCCTTACTTGCCGTGGGCCTGGACGTGAACAGCGGCTTCGGCGAGCGCATCGACGGCGTCCCCGTCGCTGATTCACACGCTGGTGAATATCGGTCTCGGCAGAATCTCTCCGGCGATCTGACTTGACGGTGGTACCAGTGGGGCGGGATCTACCATCGACCACTGGTTCATTCCAGAGGCGGCGCTGGGGAACGTCCTCGGGTGTAGGGTGGGCTACTATTACGGCAGGCGGCTTCAGCTCATGCCAGATCGACGTCCGCGTGATCATATACCGTTGCTGCTGTTGCTGGGTTGCATTCTCGACATGTCTGATGGGCCCGCCTCGACGGATTCGACGCGCCGGCTCACGCGGGACCTTCAGAAGGCCTTCGAGTCGTTGCAGACGGGGAAGTGGCGCGACACGTTCTTGGTGCGTCTCGAGGCTTTGTCTGAGACGGGCTGACCAACGCTGGGGATGGGTGGTCCAGCTGATACAGGAAGCATGTCAAGGGCACTTTCGGCGCCGCCCACCTGGACGACATAACACGGCAGCGGCACGTTTGGAATTTGAGAGGCGCAGTTTGGTCTCCTTGCGTGCTGCGGAGCGAGGGCGCGTAGCTGAGTTGGGATTCCGAGCGTCTGACTCCACTGGGGGCGACGAGCAGGTCGACCCCGTCAAGAGGCCCACGAAGCAGCTGCGACAGTGGGCGAGACGACATCGGGCTGATCGGCGTGCGTCGCTGGAGGCGGACCGCGAGGGGGCGGAGAGGCGTGGCCGCACCTTCGAACAACATCGTCGCTGAAAGAGCCCAGGGTGCACGTCGACGGCAGTGCTTGACGACGCCGGAGTCGCGTCGTTCCGCGCAGGCGGTGGGAGCGGGCATGGCGAAGCCGAGCGCGCAGGTGTGCGTGTCTGCCGTTCGCGTCGATCGAGCGGAGCACCTACGGCGACGAGGCGCGTCGTCGCGCGTTCCCTTGGAACGGAGCGACTTCCTCGACGCGCTGTCCGGGCGAGATCTGCGACGCACAATTGGGGCCGCGCGGATGAGTGGAAGGCGGATGGGGGTATGCGCAGTGGAGCGTTCCAGTCGAGCTCATCTCGTGTTGCTTGGAACCTGGGCATTGCGCTGCCGCTCGGTGGCCCCCGCTAGGGATGGGGCAACCTGATATCGGGGAGGGTCCACGGTCGTGCCGCAGTTTCAGGAGCGAGGTGCCCGAGGTTCTTCTCCGCGCATGTCGGGCTGTCCCAGGGCCTGCCGTCGCTCGCTGGTCGCTCGGTTTCGCGCTTGACGAACGCGGCGGACGTTGTGGGCTGGGCGGCAAACGCTTGATTCATCTGGTCTGCGCATTTTTTCTTCGGAAGTCTCTTCAGGAATCAGAGCTGTCACGAGTACGGGCTGAGCTTCGATTGCGAGGCGCCGAAGGAGTTCGCCGTGGCCTTCGCGCGCCCCGCCCAGCGCTGGCGCGCGGAGCGCACTGCTCAGGACGAGCTGTTGACGTTCAGGACTCGCGTCCTGGAGCTGCCCGTCCCGCGCCCCGCGGCGCATTTCGCTGACGACCCGAAGAAGCGGCGCGTCGTCTTCTCTGCCAGGGCCTCCGAAGCGTACGACGTCATCAACGTGGGCCAGGCCATCCTCCTCAGGGCGCTCGAGGCGGGGGGTTTCAAGCGGAGAGCGTTGCCGAGCACGTGCTGGTCAGCGAGCTCAGGCCGACGCAGAAGGTGAAGTTCAAGAAGCTAGTGCCTGCTGGATCTGGCCGCATCCTACCTCGTGCTCGGCATTTTGGTGGTTGGCCAGGTATGTGCAGCTATGTGCTCAAGGAGTCGCTTGGGCGTGCAGGTCTGCGGGAAGTGGAGGGCGTTGGACGGGGGCGCGCGCGTCCACGACGACACGCGCGCGCAAGTTCTCACTAACAAAAAGCAGACGATGATGGGGCGCTCCGCCGACCCGGGCGTCTCTGGCGACGCAGCGCACTCGTTGGCTTATAGTTCTGATTCGTCGCCCGCGCGCGCATGGTCAAGTTATTGCAGCGCTATGGGGGCATCATTAGGATTCGCCGTCGCCCATTGGCGAGGGGGGGGGGGGGGGGCGACTGTTGCCGCCAGCCCGCGTGCGCGCCAGTTCGCGTGCGACCTCACGCTGCTGGAGGGCATCCGCGGCGCCGAGGGTTTCTTCGAGGAGTGGGCGATCGTCGGGCGTGCGTGGCAGGAGCTGTGGAGCTGCGAGGACGTGCCCGAGGCCTCTCTGAAGGTCGACGCTGAGCTAGCTGATCGAGGTCTCGTTGATGAGGGGGTCTCTGCTTCGGGAGCGGCTGGCGCCTGAGGGGAAGGAGACCGAGGAGGCGCGGGGCTTATTTATTGGTGGCTTGCTTGACTCTGAGGGTTCAGTGCGCGGGCTGTGCTTCGGCTCGCAGAAGAAGCTCGTGGCGCGCATGGCGAAGGCCCGCGGTGGGTCTCGTGCTGTGCCTTCTTTGATGCTGCGTCATTGCGAATCAGTGCTTGAACGGTGCCAGTATGTTCCCGCCAGAAGACAGTGCTAAGCAACATGTGCAGGAATCGCGGTTTCTTGGGCGTTGTGGGCAGCTCGGGGGCTGGCAGGATTGGGAGATGCAGGTGCCATCTTAGATTATCCGTGGAGTTTGGGCTCGGGTGTGATGACTTAGCTGAATGCTGCGCACGCTCCAGGGAAGAGCGCTTACCTCGCCCTGCTCCGCGCGGTGTGGAGCGCCATGCCCGCCGCGCTGCAACCGGCCGGGGTCGACTCGAGGGAGCTGGCGAGGCAGGAGATGCACGCTGAGCCCCGCAGGCGCGCGCCGGCGACGGCAAGGACAAAGGGGAGCAGCTCAGTGGGGTCAACGACAGAGGGCTGCGTCGGTTTCTGCTCCTCATGGCCAAGCGGCTCCTGAAGTGCGCGCAGGGGGTGCGCGAGCTCGGCGGGTGCCTCTTCGACGCTTTTCTCTGCCCGTCCGACGGCCGGGAGGCGCTGGAGATGTCAGAGCAGATTCGCAATGGCGCGGAGGCGTTGCAGCGCGACGGGAGGGCGCGCGCGCGGGCGTCCGCGGGGCTGGTCGAAGCGCCCAGGGTCAAGGGCTTGGCCGTGGGCGCGTCCGACGCGATGGTGGTTGAGGGGCTCTGGGAGTGGCTGGGCAGTCTCTGCGCGGAGGAGAAAATTGAGCCCATCTGCCTGTGCCGCCTCGACAAGACGCACGACAAGGAGCAGGGGCGCGTCGCCTTCCTCGTGCGCAGGGGGCGCCGGCGTCTGGCTGTCATCCAGAGTTGCGCGCAGGTGGACGTGGCTCGGAAGCGGGGCGAGGCTCCAGCGTCTCTCATGGGGCTCGAGTCGCAGGGCTACCTCTGCCAGCTGCTGGAGTGACTGGAGGCGCTGGCCCCCCTGCTGCGGGCGTGGGGCACTGTTGGCCACCTGCTGTGCTCGGGGGTGCTGCGCCCCCTGCCGCGGGCGCATGAGGGAGACTGAGCCACCTGCCGTGGGTGGAGGTACCGCGCCCCGCGCTGCAGATGAGAGTCGTAGCGAGCCGCCTGCGGTAGCTAAACCTCTCGGCGCGCCCGCCGCTTCGCGGGGCGTTTCGCTCGAGGCTGCCAGTCTCGCCTCGCCTCGTCCGTCGACCTCGGGGCTCCGCGGGGCCCGTCCCGACTTGTTCCGCGCCGTGTCGAGCCGTGGCCCCGCGTCCTCTTCCTCCTCTGCAGGGCCTCGGGCTTCTGCTGATTTCGTGGGCCCCATCGGCGATTGATTTTCTGTTGGCCTCCGCGGGGATCGAGTGAGGGGGCGCCCGCTGGAACGCTCCTGTGGGCGGTGGTAGGTTACGCTCAATGGTGCGGCGCGCGAGGCGGTATATTCGCGTCTCCAGTCGGCCACATCTCGAGAGTTGGTCGGCTGGGCGTTGGTCGGCCCGAGGTTCGGCCCCTTCGCCTTGCGTCTTCGCTTGTCGTCTCGGTCGCAGTCGCCGCGCGCCTCCTCTCGTTTTGTCGTCCGTTTGAGTGTCGATCGGGTCAGTATCCGAATTTTCGACATGAGGTCCGAAATATAGACATCCTCACAAACACCACATCTTTATATAGGGGCCTACGGCGCATATTCTTTTACATCATCACCATCACCGTCGCCACCATCCTCAGCACAACCATCACAACCATCAGCATTTCTGATCCCAATACACCCCCACTCATCATCATCCACCCACTCTCTCGCCCAGTCACATTCCTCCATCACCCGCTCAGCATTATGTCAGTATCCCATCATGATCATCGGGCATCAACGTTGTCGTCGTCCTCATCACCCGCGCGCACCACCATCGTCATCACTATCATCACCCCATCATGCCCATCGGCCAAGAGTGGCCTCGTCTGTGAGTGAATCGCGAGGACGTGTCGAGCGGGAACCCCGTCCCTATGGGACCCGCACCTCGTGTTCGAATCCGAGCGGGTCATCCGAATCCTGCAACTCTCGTTGTTTGTGGGTTTTATTTGGGTTGGATGCGGGGGAAGTCTCGAACTGGAACTTCGTCTGTGAGTGAAGCTGCGAGGGCGTGTCGAGCGGGGACCCCCTAGTCATGGGGCCCGCACTTCCTGCTCGAATCCGGTCGGGCCATCGGAATCTTGTAACTGTCGTCACGTTTGGGCTCTTCTGGGCTGGATTTGGGGGACGTCTCGAGCGGGAGCTTCGTTTGTGAGTGAAGGTGTGAGGAAGTCTCAGGCGGGAGCCCCTGTTCTATAGAACTCGCATTTTTGTTCATCCGAGCGGGTCATCGGAATCTTGTAACTCTCGTCGCGGTTTTGTTTTGTTGGTTTCAATGCGAAGGATCGAGCGGGAACTTCGGTTGTGAATGAACCGCGAGGACGTTTCGAGCGGGGGCGCACCCCATGTTTGAATCTGAGCGGGTCATCGGGATCCTTGAACTGTCGTCATTGTTAGGTTCATCAGGCCTGAATCCTGAGGGAATCTCGAACGGGAACCTCGTCCGTGAATGAATTGCGGGGATATCTCGAGCGGGAGCTTCGTTTTGGAGTAAAGTGTGAGGAAAGCTCAGGCGGGAACCCCCTTTCTATGGGGCTCGCATTTTTTGCTTGGGGAACAAAATCCCAGCGGGTCATCGGAATCCTTTAACTCTCGTCGTTTTTTGTTCGAGTATGGGTAAGATATCGAGCGGGAGGTTCGGCTGTGAGTGAACCGCGAGGAAGTCTCGAGCGGGAACCCCCTCCCTATGGGGCGTGCGCCCCATGTTTGAATCTGAACGGGTCATCGGGATCCTCTAAGTGTCGTCATGTTTGGATCTCTCTGGCTGGAATCTGAAAGACGTCTGGAGCAGGAGCTTCGTTTGTGATTGAATTGTGAGGAGGTCTCGAGCGGTAGCCCCCTCCCTATGGGGCCCGCGGCCCGTGTTCCTAATCCGAGCGGGTCATCGGAGTCCTATAGCTGTCTTTGCTTTTGGGCTCCTCGGGCCTGAATCTAGAGGAAGTCTCGGGCGGGAGCCTTGTCTGTGAGTGAATGGCGAGGAAATCTCAGGCGCCTGTGGGGTCCGCGCTTTATGTTGTTAATCCGAGCGGGTCATCGGAATCTTGTAACTGTTGTCATTTTGGGCTCCTCAGGCCCGAATCTCGAGGAAGTCTCAGGCGGGAGCCTCGTGTGTGAGTGAATTGTGTGGAAGTCTCAGGCGGGTACCCCCCCCCATGGGGTCCGCATTTCATGTTGGTAATTTGGCTGAGTCGTTGAAATCATGTAACTGTCGTCACTTTTGGGCTCCTCAGGCTTGAATTTTGAAAAAGTCTCAAGCGGGAGCCTCGTCTGTGATTGAATTGCGAGGGAGTCTCAGGTGGGAGCCCCTTCCTCATGGGCCCGTATTTCATGTTGGTAATCCGAGCGGGTCATCGGAACCCTGTACCTGTCGTCACTTTCGGGTTCCTCAGGTTTGAATCTCGAGCAAGTCTCAGGCGGGAGCTCCTTCCGTCTGGGAGCTGCATTTCCATGTTGTAACCCGAGCGGGCCGCCGGCAAACCTGCAACCTGGAATCCGACCAGGTTCCTCCGGCATGAACTTGGAGGAAGTCAGGTCATGGACTTCTCGACCGGGGGAACTCACTCCGTGGGGGGTCGGGGGGGCGGGGTTGGGGAGGGGAGGGGGAAGAAGGGGAGAAAGGAACAGAGGAAGGGAACGCCCCAGATGATTGGAGGTCCCTGGAAGAAACCCTCGCAATATCTTGGATCTTTCCGAGCTCCGACGATGAGGATCGTCCAACGACTCCTCCTTTTCCCCGTCTTCCTCCACCTCCTCCTTCCCCTCCTCCGCCTCCTGCTCCTCCTCCTAATCCTCCCTCTCTCTCTCTCTCCCCTCTCTCCTCCGACTCTAAGAAATCGTTGGAACCCGAGCGGGCCATCGGATCCATTGGGACGCAGAGGAATCCGAGCGAAGTATGTGGGGTTCTTGAAAGGCCTCTCGCTCGACCCATCAGAGGAGGAGGAGGAGGAGGAGGAGGAGGAGGAGGAGGAGGAGGAGGAGGAGGAGGAGGAATTCTGCATCTCTACGTCATGTTCTCCCGCGCCACGTGCATGCGGAACGTGGTGATCCTGCGGCCGCCCACCTGGGAGTTCCTGGAGAGCGGGCCGCCGGCGTCCCTGCGGAAGGCGCTCAGGGAGTGCGGCACGCGAGCGGAGAGCTCCCGGGCAGAGGCGGAGCAGCTTGCGGCAGAGTTGGGTTTCGTGCTGCCTCCCGCCTGAGCGCGGGCGCGACTAGCTCGGTGCCTGCGGCTTGCTCCCGCGCCCCAGCAGCTCGCGGGGATTGTCCCCGCGGCCTGGCCCGCGGGATTGCCCCGACGGCTGCGCGATGTGGCCATTCGCGAATGCGCCCGTGCTAGCTGAGGCGGCGACGGCGCCGAGGAAAATCGGCGCGCGCGCTCTTGCAATGGAGAGGGGAGGGAGGTGGCGCGGGTGAAGAACGCAGGAGGGCGAGGAGGGGGCAACGTCGGGAGCGGGAGGAGGGCCTGCGCCAGGGCGAGAAATAAAATTATGCAGAGGAGACAGTAAGGGCGCCTCATTGATCACGAGGACGACGATCGTTAGCCGAGAGGATTATCATGTGGGGTCCTGCCGTCGGAGTATTTTCTCTCGCGCAGGGACCGCGTGTGCTGTGCGCGGGTTGACCATCCGCGTCAAAGCACAACGCGTGATCACTTGCCACGCGGCGCACCTAGCGCGGCGGGAGCGCGTGTCGCACTTGGCGCACGTGGCGCGCCTAGCGCGATTGGGCCTCCAGGGTGCCCGGCGCACCTGGGACCCGTGGCGCACGTGGCATTCGTGGGCGATATGCTGAGACCTGGGTGCTACGTGTGGTTCGGGAGGGCGGGTGGGAATGAACGAGACGGCGTGTGCCTTGTGGGCAGGAGGCGTCTTGCTGTTTAGTTTACCCTTACCCGTACCCTTAGCACCGTTCCCTATTAGTAGGCATCCCCTCCCCCACACGACCAGCAGCCAACCCGAACCCATGCCAACACGCCCCCCACCATACCTGTCAAACAGTGGTGCGACGTGCGCTTTGTCTCCAAATCTGGAGCATGCGCGGTCGCCCCGCGAGCACTTTAAATTGTTTTTTGACCGGGGCGGCGGTGGGGGGCCCTCATGTTGCCTGCTGGGTGCAGGCCACCCGTCCCTGTCAGAAAACCAAACACACACACATTGTCTTCAAATCTGGAGCATGCGCGGGCGCCCCGCGACCACATCGCATCGATATTTGACAGGGGCGGCGGGGGTGCCGTCGTATGGCTTGCTGCGCGCAGGCCACAGCCATCCGTGTCAATCCACAATGCGTAATGCACATAAGTTCAAAATCTGGAGCATGCGCGGGCACCCCGCGACCATTTTGCGTGGGTTTTTGATCGAGAGGTTCGGGTGCTATTTATGAGCTGGGTGGGCGGGTGGGAGTGAGTGAAACGGCTTGTGCCTTGTGGGCAGGGGGTGTCTTGACCCTTGCCCCTACCCTTCCCCTTACCCCTGCCCTTACCCTTACTCCTACCTTTATGTTTCCCCTTACCCTGACCTTGATTACTGTTCCTAATTACTAAACGCCCCCTCGCCCAGGCGACCGGAGGCCAACCAAACACCATGCCGACACCATGACCACCCGCCCGCCACCATCCTTACCAAAAAACAGCACAAGCCGCACTTTGCCTCCACATTTGGAGCGTTCGCGGCCAACCCGATGCGGTTCCTCTTCCCTCCCTGTCAAAAAAACAATGCGAAGTACAGTTTGGGGCAAAGTCTGGAGTCATTTTCGTGAGGCCCGCGAGCACTTCGTATTGTTTTTGAGAAGGACGGCGGGTGTGTCAGCATATTCCCTGCTGCGCGCAGGGCTACCATCCATGACAA